CATTATTCTTATCTGGAATCATGGTTTGAAGGAATGCGATTCCCATGGTTCATATTCCTTGTGGGGTTGCATTCTAATGTTTTGTATTACCTCAATATGTTTTAGCAAGGTGATGTTGGATTGTGGTAAACTAAATAGATGCCATTAATTACAGTTGGTTCGTAGATCATATTTTAACTTTTTCCTACTCAATTTTTCTCTTCCTGGCTAAGTATTCAAATGTTCATGCACTTACATATTCCATTATAATCAAGTCTCACAAATATTTCCAGTATGTTTACCAGAAATTTATGCTTAAGTAAATTCATAAGCAGGTATCACATCGTCTTGCACAAAATAGGGAAGCCGCACGAAAAGGCCGTTGGCAAGAAATGTACTTTCATGCAAATTCGAGCTCCTTCAGCCTATAATCTGTCTGCAAATTTATGTTCAACGACTAGAAACTAGTCACATAAAAGTGGCTCAAAGTGAGCATGAGCTTGAGCGGGTTAGACATCAGGGACAACAAAGATCATTTGATGGTATCTTAATCACGCTTGTAAGCTGATTAACTTTTTTGAATTGTAGGGTGTAGATGCTGGTGGTCATGCAGGGGATTCAAGTCTTGGTTTGTTAGATCTGGTAATTTAGGTAAGCTATTGAGGTTATATCTCCTTTGGTTCCCTTCTGAATGCTAACTAATTGTAGAACACTTTATAGCTACTAAGTACACAGTCATCATTTTGTCCGGAAATATGATCCCTGATTTCGGTCTGCACAACTCGGAGATCAAACCACAAGTTCACAAGATAGCAATCAAAACAAGCAAGAAGAAAGACCGCCGAGATTTACATGGTTCAGTCGACCAAGTTCGACCTACATCAACGGGACAACAATACGAGGAATCCACTATGTACGGGGGAGAACAATACAAGAGTAATCACTCATCTCTCACTATCTCTTAACCTTACATACACACATTGCCTCCACTCATATTCTCTTCAAAGAGCCCGAATCTCATCACAAGTCTCTCACACACAAGAGATGCTTATATAGTGCTAAAACCTAGCACTAATTGGCCCAAAGGCCCATTAGCTTGAAGCCCATTTGATACTAAATTAGATACGAGACATATCTCAACACATTTTAAGTGGCACCTATTACATATAGGCTTCAAAACTTTTGATAAAATGATACTGAATACATACATGCCCGGGACCTTAACTTTTTCAGTGTTATACTGAAGTTCATTTCAGTTTCTACTTTTGAATGACATTTATTCATGGACCTTAACTTTTTCAGTGTTATACTGAAGTTCATTTCAGTTTCTACTTTTGAATGACATTTATTCATGATACTTTATATTATTTGTATTGCCCTAATGCTATACATGTTGAATTTTTGTAGGTGTTGTTGTTCTTTGAGATGAAAGATGGACGCTGGGCCGATAAAAAGAATGCTAAGATTAATCAACTAAGAGCTGCTTTACAAGCACATTTGTCAGATATTGAGCTCGGGTTGCTTGTAGAAAGTGTGGTGAACCACTATGATGAGCTTTTCCATGTAAAAGCAATTGCTGCTAAGTTTTTGATGTTTTCTATTTCATGTCGCGCATGTGGAAAACAATCATGGAGCGGTTATTTCTACGGATTAGAGGTTTTCAGACTTCAGAGCAATTAAAGGCAAGTTAATAAATAGTTCACACCATATAGTGCCGTTAAAAGGCTGCGTCCTTTTTATGTTTATTTTTGGTCGATAGCTGACCCCAGATTAACTGATACTTCGCCTCAACAATCACGCACTCTTCATTCAGAAAGCATATATATAAGGAATATCACTCGGTTTAAATAATATTATTGCTCTTTTTGTCTGGGTTTGGTGGGTAGCTTTTCGTCTCATTTCCCTTTTCTTTACTTCCCTTCTTTCTTCCGCTATTTTTGTCTGGGTTTGGTGGGTAGTTTTCCGTCTCATTTCCCTTTTCTTTACCTCCCCTTTCTTTCTTCTGCTCTGAAAGAAGGTTATAACCTCAAATACTAACCAAAGAATACATGTAATGTTATAAAAAAACAATATAATGCTATGATATCCTGAGTGAGAGCGAGTAGTTTGAACTGTTTCCACGCAGCGAGTAGTTTGAATTGTTTCCACTTAAAGATAAACTTTACTATATTTGGTTTACTGAGACAGCCTTTCTTAGTACAATACTAACACATCCGTTTTGACGATCCGACTGATTTTTCTGTTTACAGGGAATATGCATTTGGGTCTTTATGGTATCTAATAAACAGTATGTAGATAACTTTGAGCTAAGACCAATCAATATTCATAAACACTACCTGATCTCTAACCACTTATACTTCCTTTCCTTTTATTTATTTTTTGCACAGATTCACTTTGCTCAGGTAGAACCTTTGACAGAGCAGCTTCTGGTTGCTGTCTACAGCTTCGGACAGTCCTCTCAACAAGCTGAAGATGCTTATTCCCGGGGCATGGAGAAACTTCAACAAATACTTGTCCAGAGTCTACATCTGAGCCCTTGGGAGCTTCTGGTGTGGCAAATTAAATAGGACATATGACTAATGCCATGTGGGAAGATGGAAGCTTTAGTTTGTTACTCGGGTGAAAAGCCACTCACACTCATCATATGCATTTTCTTTTGTTTTGTTCTCTCATATACTGTTCAATACTTCCTTTCTAAAATGCTAATAGAGATAGATAAGGAGAAGAAGAAGAAGAAGAGGACTTAAGTTGCCATAATGAAAAGAGAGTATTGGAACTCAATTTGTAAAAGAATTCAGATTCTGAGCCCAAATCATTTATTGCCTTCTGCTTGAAACAAAGCTGTAAAGTCTATCTAAATGCTAGGGCTTAATTTACTGTTTAATTAGTTTGCTTCACCTTTGCAAAAATCTTAAAATTTACTTATGCAACTTAGGTTTTGGCGGGAACACTTCGCTTCATTTCTCTGAATCCAATTGCTATAACCTAATGGTTTATATGAATCCTTTTTCTGTACGGTCATGATCTTACCTGCAAGTCCATCCTCCATAATCTTTATTTTTGATCGTTAATTGCTTTATGTTCTTTTTGTATAGAAACTGGAAATTGTGATAGCTTAGCTATGGCATTTGCTGCTCATATCTTAAAGAAGCATGGAAGACAAAAATACTTGTCTGAAACTAGTTAATGAATGAAAAGCAGCAAATGCATGTAATAAATGCTTAGACAGCAATCTGTTTGGTTTGTAGAAAATTACAACTGCACTCGGTATGTGCAAGTGGGTCAAAGAAAAGCTGAACCTTACCAAATTCCCATAAACTTTGGGTTGTTTCGCACAGAACCCTCGTGAACACTGAAAAATCAGAGAAACTCCATGAACTTTTAAAATCATACTAAATCCTCTAATCTATTGGAAAATCCCTTCATTCAATTTTTTCAGCATAAACTTTGGTATGTCATAGTTCAAACTTATTTCTCTATCCGTTAATATCATTTATGAGATTTTCCAAGAGTTCAAGAGGGTGTATTGTAAATAGTTTAGGGGAACTATAATTACAATGGAGCTAACAACTCAATTTTATTCTGCATCATGATGCTAACTCCGCCTTATTTTCATGGAACAGGCAGACAATCATTGGCAGCAAACCCTGCAGCAAATGTACAAAGTTTTAACAATGCGACGAGTAGCAAGAGGTCTTGTTGCCTTGGGAGAATATTGCTAACATCTTCGTGCCCTTGACTTGATATGGGCTGCTCATCCTAGAGAGCCAACCTAAACATTGTTTAGCAAGGGCATGTACGTATTCTATTATGTATCTCTTACTCTATTTAAAAAAAGTCTTCTTTTGGTTCGGTTTTGATTTTCTACCCCTATAGATGTCATTGTTTTAAAAATTCCATCAAACACGTATACAATGCGAAGGATTTGAGTGTCATTTTAGGGATACATTATGAAAATCTTAATTACAGGTTCCCAAACTTAACAAACTACTTCCCCACCTTCATAATCTGGACCATACTGTTTCAAAATCATAGTATCTTCATCTACCACGTTTTTCATTGGAACCAAAATGTAAAATAACATTAAAGAACGATCTTCTTCTCCATGTGAACATCAAAACACCTTCCATTCTTAATCTCTTGGATCTGAAATTTTATTTATTATGGAATTTCTTAGTTGTTTTCTTAATGGATTTTGTCAGCTTTTCTAATTTTGCACTATACAATAGATCAGATCTTCAATGTGCAGAGCATGTCCGGTTCTCTCACCTCCAGAAATGTGGCGACAGTGATTGGTTAAATCACTTTGTAATAACATCAATTCATAGAGGTACAATTTCTTACCAATCTTTCATGGCTCGGTTCAATATGAGTCCTTATCTGAAAAACTTTAGCCATGGATTTATGTTTTCTCAATTACATTTACCAAGCATGGTGCATGAAGCGATAATAAAACAAGTATTTTATAGAGCAACGAAAAAATTCAATGAAGTCTGCGATCTACAAAGGTAGGAAGCAAAGAGCCAGACAAAATATAATCATGCAAACGGTGCAATCGGGGCCAACGTTTTCTGTCTTCCTTTCTAGACATGCCTCCATTTTGTACATTTTTCAAAATTAAGGAGAGATCGAAAACAAGTTATTCAACTCCAACATTCATCTGGTTATATTCAGACCTATAGTTAATAGTTAATTTTATCTATCTATATGCAGAACTAAAGAAGTGGTTTGATGAAAATAGAAGTTTTCTTTCATTTTCACTGGGGTATAGTTTATATTGTTTGTTCTTTCAGTTTACATTTCTTCTTCTACGTTGACCTGCAAATGGAAATGTTGGCATAACGGGCTTTTATGGCATCACAGGCTTTTATGCAAATAGAAACACGTCCCTTTAGGGTTTGAGAGAGAAAAAGAGCACGAAAAAAGAGGGTTTTGAGGGCTCTTTGAGATTAGAAATCTTAGAGAGAGAGAGACCAATTGCAAGCATTGTAATCTTCTTCAAGTAATCAAAGAATTGCGTGGTGTGGCTCCCGAGGACGTAGGCACGTTGCCGAACCTCGTTAAATCTAGTGTGTTATATCTTGTTTACTTTCCTACAAGTTTTTATCTTTGATTTGTGGTGAATTTCTTTCTTGCTCAACTCTCAAACACAAGGTCCGGAAGGGCAATGGTTCGATTGATTGTTTTGAATCCCCAACAACTGGTATCAGAGCTTCGTTCAGCAATTTGTGTGAAAGAGAGCCATGGCAGAGGAAATCAAATCAAAGATTGAGAAGTTTAACGGTTCAGACTTTGCCTACTGGAAGTCACAGATGGTGGACTATCTGTACCAGAAGAATTTGTATCGCCCGTTGATGTGCAAGGAAAAGTAAAAGAAGAAGGAGGAGTCAGATGGTGATTGGGAGGTGCTGGATAGGAAGGTTCTAGAGCAAATCCGGTTGTCGCTTGCCAAATCAGTAGCCCACAATATTCTGAAGGAGAAGACGATGGTGGGGCTTATGAAAGCGCTCGCGAAGATGTACGAGCAACCATCGGTAACAAACAAGGTGCATCTAGTCAAAACTCTTTTCAACCTCAATATGGCAGAAGGACGGTCCTTCACGATGCATCTCAGTGAGTTCAACACAATTGTTGATCAGCTTATCTCCGTGAACATCACGTTTGATGACGAAATGCAAGTCCTATTGATTCTATCGCAGTTGCCGGATAGTTGGGCAGGTTATGTGACGGCAATCAGCAATTCGGCGGGGAAGGAGAAGTTGAAGCTGAGTGAGGTTGTTAGCATGATTCTATCCGAGGAGGTTAGAAGAAAATCGTCCGAATCAGAAAGTTCAGGTTCAGCTCTAAGTTTCGAGCAGAGGCAGAAGCCAGAAGAAAGGAAACCAGAATAGGAATCGGTCAAAATCAGTAAAGAAGAGGTCGAACTCGAAGGTTAGGCCTATCAAAGGAAAGTGTTGGAACTGCGGCCAGGAGGGTCATATGTCTTCAGTCTGCAAAAGTCTAAAGAAGAATGCGGGTGAACATGAGGCTCATATCGTGCAGGATGCCTTGATTCTTGCAATGGACAGCGACTCGGATTCTTGGGTCATCGATTCAGGAGCCTCTTTTCACGCTACTGCTAACAGGAAGCTATTTCAGAATTATGTAGCGGGGGACTTTGGTAAAGTGTATTTGGGGAACAACGAGCCCTGTAATATTGTTGGAAAGGGTGAAGTGCAAGTTCAGATGAAGGGCTCTAAGTGGACCTTGAAGAACGTGAGACACGTGCCGAAACGGAAGAGGAATCTTGTTTCGGTAGGATAGCTTGGAGCAGAAGGCTATGTTTCGACATTCACTGGGGATTCGTGGAGGATCTGCAACGGTACAATGATAGTTGCTCGAGACAACAAATTAGGAACTCTCTACCTCACCTTACATGCGAGTGACACCCTCGTAATTACAGCTGGCAAAGAGAGTACAGATCCGTAGCACAACAGGCTAGGACACATGAGCGAAAAGGGGATGAAGATTTTGCATTCATAAGGAAAGCTAACCAGGATCGACGCCGTAGAAGTCGGGGTTTGTGAAGACTGCATCTTTGGGAAGCAGAAGAGGGTTAGTTTTCAGAAGGGTGGAAGACCACCTAAGGCTCAGAAGCTAGAGTTGATTCATACAGATGTATGAGATCCAGCCAGTGTGTCTTCTTTTGGCGCGAGAAAGGTGTGGATCTACTTCATGAAGCACAAGTCAGAGGTGTTTGGAATCTTCAAGAAGTGGAAGGCCATGGTGGAGAATGAGACAGATCTGAAGGTGAAGTGTCTGAGATCAGACAATGGTGGGGAATATGAGCTGGAGGAGTTCAAGAGGTTCTATGCTACGAATGTCATTCGGTTAGAGAGGACTACTCTAGGGACGCCGCAGCAGAACGACATTGCAGAGAGGATGAACATGATCTTGACAGAGCGTGCTAGGAGCATGCAGTTACATGCAGGTCTGCCTAAGACATTTTGGGCAGATGCAGTGCATACAGCAGCTTACCTTATTAATCACGGGCCATCAGTTCCATTAGATTTTGGGATTCCAGAGGAGGTTTGGAGTGACAAGAAGATAAATCTCTCACACTTACGGGTATTTGGTTGCGTGGCTTATGTTCACATCAGTGACCATGTCAGGGACAAGCTAGAAGTTAAGTCACAGAAGTACACATTCATTGGATACGGCATTGATGAGTTCGGGTATCGCCTTTGGGATGAGAAGAACAAGAAGATCATCAGAAGCAGGGACGTGATATTCAATGAGGATGTGATGTACAAGAACAAGGAAGATGCCAAGGATAGCCAAAGCGGTGGGAGCAGCATTTCAGATACAGATGGATCTAAGTACATGGATATAGAGGAACTTCCAGATATGGGAGATGATGTTTGTTCTGACCACAGAACGGATGAGGCTCCAGGTGCAGAAGAAACTACCCAGGGCGTGGAGCTTAGGAGGTCATCCAGGGTACCCAAACCAAATCCCAAATATCTATCATCTCTTGACTACTTATTATTGACAGATAGCGGTGAGTCGGAAAGCTATGAAGAGGCAATGCAAGTGAGTGAATCTCAATAGTGGGAGTATGCGATGCAGGAGGAGATGGATTCTCTACTCACTAATAAAACATGAGAGTTAGCCCAGCTACCTACTCAGAAGAAGATCTTACATAACAAATGGGTTTACCGGGTCAAACAAGAGAGTGATGGAAGCAAGAGATTCAAGGCCAGATTAGTAGTAAAGGGATTTCAATAGCGGGAAGGAGTGGACTACACGGAGATATTTTTCCCTATTGTGAAACTCACAACCATCAGAGTGGTATTAAGTTTGGTGGCTGCAGAAGACCTCTTTCTTGAGCAGTTAGATGTGAAGACTGTCTTTCTTTATGGTGACTTGGATGAAGAAATCTACATGAAGCAGCCTGTTGGCTTCATTGAAGAAGGAAAGGAAGAGATAGTGTGCAAGCTCAAGAAGAGCTTATATGATTTGAAACAGGCTCCGAGACAGTGGTATAAGAAGTTTGATAACTTCATGCAGAACAATGGCTACAGAAGATGCAATTCGGATCATTGCTGTTATTTCAAAAGATTTGAGTCCAGCTTCATTATTTTGTTATTGTATGTTGATGACATGTTGGTAGCAGGACCATGTTTGGAGGAGATAAACAGTTTGAAGAAGCAGCTAGCAAAGGAATTTGCAATAAAAGATCTGGGTGCAGCGAAGCAGATTCTAGGGATGCGAATCAGTAGGGATGAAGCTGAAGGGACATTGAGATTGAGCCAAGCTAAATACATTGAGAAGATACTTCAGAGGTTCAACATGCAGAATGCTAAAGTTGTTAGCACACCTCTTGGAGGTCAGTTCAAGCTATCTGAAGAGCAATCACCTAAGACAGATGCATATAGAGAGTATATGAGCAGGGTGCCATGTTCTTCGGCCATTGGGAGTCTTATGTACATGATGGTTTGCACGAGGCCGGACATCGCCCATGCAGTGGGAGTTGTGAGTAGATTTGCAAGCAATCCAGGAAAGCAACATTGGGAGGCTGTGAAGTGGATAATGCGGTACTTGAGAGGGACAAGGAACAAGCCATTATGTTTCAGGAGGAAGGAGTTGGTGCTGCAGGGATACGTGGATGCGGACTTCGCCGGTGATCATAATACGAGACGAAGCACCACGGGGTATGTTTATACCTTAGCGTCGACAGCAGTGAGCTGGGTCTCACGTCTGCAGAAGATTGTGACTTTGTCTACAACCGAGGCTGAGTATGTCACAGTGACTGAAGCAAGCAAGGAGATGATCTGGTTGAGCGGGTGCTTGGAAGAGTTGGATCTGAAGCAAGGGAGAGAAGTTCTTTATTGTGATAGTCAGAGCGCTATACATCTCGCCAAGAATCCAGTATATCATGTCAGAACGAAGCACATCGACGTCAAATACCATTTTATACGCTCGCTAGTTGAAGACGGAAAGTTGTATTTGATAAAGATTTTGGAGAGTCAAAATCCGACGGACATGTTGACGAAGGCAGTCACCATTGAGAAACTAGAGTTGTGCGCAACTTCAGTTGGTCTTCATGAGTAGAAGACGAAGGCGGAGCCACACTACGAGGATCGGCGAGATCGCCGGGATGTTAATGATTAAAGAATGGATTTTTTAAGTAGGAGAAGATGCTTGCGAGAAGGCGGAGTTCGGGAGAGCTCATTGATGGTGGTTTAATCTCCAAGTGGGAGATTGTTGGTCTTGAGAGTGGAGACCCAAACCTAGAATCAAAATCAACAATCGCATGAAAATTCAAGACAGGTCATGGGTGTGGTCTGCGCCACACCAGAGTGTGGCAGAATCTGCCCTGTCTACCATGGGTGTGGTCTGCGCCACACTAGGGTATGACAGAATCTGCCCTGTCTGTCATGGGTGTGGTCTGCGCCACACCAGGGGTAGAGTCTGTCCTGTCTGCTATGGGTGTGGTCTGCGCCACACCAGGGGCAGAGTCTGTCCTGTCTGCCATGGGTGTGGTCTGCGCCACACTAGGGTGTGCCAGACTCGTTTTAGAATCCTAATCTGTTTGGGATTGTGTTTTGTTATAAATAAAAACACGTCCCTTTAGGGTTTGAGAGAGAAAAAGAGCACGAAAAAAAGAGGGTTTTGAGGGCTCTTTGAGATTAGAAATCTTAGAGAGAGAGAGGCCAATTGCAAGCATTGTAATCTTCTTCAAGTAATCAAAGAATTGCGTGGTGTGGCTCCCGAGGACGTAGGCACGTTGCCGAACCTCGTTAAATCTAGTGTGCTCTTTCTTATTTATTTTCCTACAAGTTTTTATCTTTGATTTGTGGTGAATTTCTTTCTTGCTCAACTCTCAAACACAAGGTTCGGAAGGGCAATGGTTCGATTGATTGTTTCGAATCCCCAACACTTGTTGCCTCGGGAGAATATTGCCAACATCTCCGTGCCCTTGACTTGATATGGGCTGCACATCCTAGAGAGCCAACCTAAACGTTGTTCAGCAAGGGCATGTACGTATTCTATTATGTATCTCTTACTCTATCTAAAAAAAGTCTTTTGGTTCGGTTTTGGTTTTCTACCCCTATAGATGTCATTGTTTTAAAAATTCCATCAAACCCGTATACAATGCGAAGGATTTGAGTGTCATTTTAGGGATAAATTATGAAAATCTTAATTACAGGTTCCTAAACTTAACAAACTACTTCATCTTCATCTACCACGTTTTTCATTGGAACCAAAATGTAAAATAACATTAAAGAACGATCTTCTTCTCCATGTGAACATCAAAACACCTTCCATTCTTAATCTCAATCTGAAATTTTATTTATTGTGGAATTTTTTAGTTGTTTTCTTAATGGATTTTGTCAGCTTTTCTAATTTTGCACTATACAATAGATCAGATCTTCAATGTGCAGAACATGTCCGGTTCTCTCACCTCCAGAAATGTGGCGACAGTGATTGGTTAAATCACTTTGTAATAACATCAATTCATAGAGGTACAATTTCTTACCAATCTTTCATGGCTCGGTTCAATATGAGTCCTTATCTGAAAAACTTTAGCCATGGATTTATGTTTCCTCAATTACATTTAACAAGCATGGTGCATGAAGCGATAATAAAACAAGTATTTTATAGAGCAACGAAAAAAATTCAATGAAGTCTGCGATCTACAAAGGTAGGAAGCAAAGAGCCAGGCAAAATATAATCATACAAACGGTGCAATTGGGGCCAACGTTTTCTGTCTTCCTCTCTAGACATGCCTCCATTTTGTACATTTTTCAAAATTAAGGAGAGAAAACAAGTTATTCAACTCCAGCATTCATCTGGTTATATTCAGACCTATAGTTAATAGTTAATTTTATCTATCTATATGCAGAAGTTGCAGAACTAAAGAAGTGGTTTGATGAAAATAGAAGTTTTCTTTGATTTTCACTGGGGTATAGCTTACACTGTTTGTTCTTTCAGTTTACATTTCTTCTTCGACGTTGACCTGTAAATGGAAATGTTGGCATCACAGGCTTTTATATGATTTTCAGTTCTATTATAATCAAGATGTAAATAACTATTTTTTCTTTTTTTAAAACTTCATTAACGTTAATAACAATTTCTTTATTACACACATAGGTGTATAAGTCATTATTTTGTGAGTTACCTAATGCTCATATATCATTTTCTACATTAATGTTTTTATACACCTATTTATACTAGCATAGCTGTTGATCTAATGCTCATATATCATTTTCTACATTAATGTTTTTATACACCTATTTATACTAGCATAGCTGTTGATAGCATCTCTTTTAATTTCGCACAAATGTGTTCTGCCTCAGCCACTAGTCTATGATAAAAAGGGTATCAACTTGGGTTTGAGGCAAGTTCTCGTTTTTTTAAGCAAATTAATATTTCTTTAATCAAGTTTTAAATGCAAAGATGATAAAAAAAGTTTTTTCCAAATAAAAAACCATATTTTCACTTTGGTACCCCAAAGTTTAGGTATCAAAGTGTTAAGAAAAGTAACTTTGGGTATTAGAGTGCTGAAAAATACTTTGAAGTATCAAAGTGTAAAAAATAGCTAAACTTTGATGTACCAAAGTGAAATGAAGATTGTGCTAAACATGGACGGAGACGCATATCTAGCATTTGATGAGAATACTCCATATTTTAAGGACAAATTTTGAAACGTCTTGTTAAATTGGGAAATTTAATTGCAATTTCTATTAATTCGAGGAACTAATTTTGGAGCTACTTGTAAGATTTTAAGATTTAATAAGCAATTCTTATACTTTCGAAGACTACGTAGGACTAGTAAAAAGCGCTCGATTTTTTAAACAATTTTAGGGACTAATTCCAGGATAGCTATTTTAATAATTTGTTAAAAAATACTAATTTCAACAATTTAAGGGATTAACATGTTGAAACGCACAGTTTAATTAAGCTCATTTTAGCCCGCTAATTTATTACTTTAAACGCATGCTAAACAGCCCTGTCAAAAGATCCGACCCGAAAACATACTCGCAACTCCAAATACGCTACGCGTTTAAAGTCAGAAAGTCAGCGTAGATCCTACGCTAAGCATCGGCCGTCCAAATAATCAATCTCTCATCTAGTCCGTCCATTTCATTAAAAACCCGTTTCGGAACCCGACCCGGTTCGATGAATTGCGGCGTCAGTTCTACGCTACGCTGTATTCTCCTGTATATAAAAATAATAATCCGCCTCTCTCTAAACTCAGCTGGTGAAAAAGAAAAAAAAGTTTAGACGAAGAAAGAGCAAAAGACAGAAAAATAACACGAAAACTAAGGTAATTTCTTCTCTCATTCTCTACTTTTTTCTTGGATTTGATTGGAATTTCTAGGGTTTAAGCATGGCATTTTATCTTTTTCCTGGTTCTTATCTAAATTGGTGCGATTTTGTTCATAGGAAAAAATGTTGCTCTCTCGATCGGGCGCAGCGTGGAATGCGAACCCTAACAAGTCTTATGTGGTATAATTTCATCCGTTGCATTGAAATTTCTAGGGTTTAAGCAAAGCCTTTGCTCTTTTTCCTGAATATTCTCGAATTTGTCGCGTTTTTGTTCTTATTATCCACAGGGGCCAGAATATTTTCTAAATTGTTGCATTTTTGTTGCTTAGCAAGTCTTATGAGGTATGATTTATCCGTTTCGTTGAAATTCTAGGGTTTAAGCAATTCCTTTGCTCTTTTATATCAATATTGTCTAATTTGTTGCGATCATGTGCTTTTTATCCCTAGAGGGTTGAGTTTACAGAAATAAATAGCCCTATGCGAGGTCACACAGCAGAAAATGTGAACCCTAACAAGTCTTTGAGGTATGATTTATCCTATTGGTCAAAATTTGTAGGGTTTAAGCAATTCCTTTGCTCCATTCTCTGAATATTGTCTAATTTGTTTCGATTTTGTACTTTTTATCCCTAGAGGGCTGAGTTTACAGAAATAAGTTGTGCTTTCTTGGATCGGTGCAGTGGGGAATGTGAACCCTAACAAGTTTTATGAGGTACGATTTTGTAATTTATTCTGTTTGATACCTTATTATCTCTGTTTTTGGGATGTTTTGTGTTTTTTTAAGTAATTGTTGGCACCTAACAAAAGGGTTTCCTGAAAAGATGTCAACTTGAATGTTTGGTTTAGGTTCTAAGCTTTTGGGGCATAAGCATAACTGAATTTAGGTTTGTGATTGTGGTCTAAGGCTGCATAGAGTACGGTTGGTTGAATTCTGTGCATCTAATTTTGTTATTTTTATCCGTAGAAGTTTGGTTGAAATTTTCTGAATATTCGCTGTCACGTGTGATCCTTCTCCGCTTCCGAATAAACATCACCGACCTCCAATCCTTTATCAGGAATGAGTCGATCCTGAAGTATCACCCTAACCTTGATCAGGGCGATTGCAGTGGGTGCGGGCGATTGCAGTGGGTGCAACATCTGCCTCAAAGTAGGGAGCTACTGGACCATTTGCCTGTGCAGTCAAAAGATATCCAGCATGAGCTTAACTTTAAAAATATGACAGTCCGGGATTGCAACGTGGTAAATGTGAACCCCAAACCTTACAAGTTTAAGATCTCTAGCCTTAGTTTCTGTCCCAAGGCAAATTACTTGATGGCTGCTTCTTGGGATAACCAGGTTTTTTAGGTTAATAGACCTTAATTTTATGAGTTCTGCAATAACTTTGATACCATACATCTGCTACCTGGATGTTATTATGGCTCTTCTGGTTTTGCTTTGAATGATGGGCAGGTTAGGTTCGTGGAGATTATGACAGGCAACAGTGAGGCGAAGGCCGCCATACGCCTTGACCAACTGGTATTCCTATATATTAGATGCTTAACCCATTTCCTCCCTTAAACTACCATGCAGTAACTGAAAAAATATTATTGCTAACAACTCATTTGTATGAATTAGGTTCTGTGCTCTACTTGGAAGGATGATGGCTCCAAGTGTTCACCGGAGGATGTGATGAGAATGTCAAAATGTGGCCCTTGATATGTGCCATGTGGTGGCCAGCCTATGTCATTCACCTGTCAATGAAGTTACTTGGATTGAACAGTTGACTTACCTCGCCACAGGAAACTGCGATAAGACTTTGAGGCAAGTGGAGATCGAGTTACTTGATTAGATTTTCAAAAATCACATCATATGTTTTGTTCTCTTTTCCTAATTTATGTAAAATGCAAGTGCAACAGTATGATTTTAATTTTCATGGACTGCGATGACTGTTTATGGTAATTGTATTTTACATATTTCTGGTTGTGTCATTTTTTGGCATGTATTCATCCAATTGCCTTATCTAATTATAGCTTATGGGCCACCTGTATAAGGTTCTCTGACATTTTAAAGTTTAACTGATTGTTTACCGCTATTGTTTCGAATTTTGGATTAAAACCTTTAATGTCTTTCCACATGAAGCTATGCGTAGTGGATACTTTGAGTATGATCTGGCCATTACATTGCTTATAGAGATGGTTGTATTTATGTACGTAATAGTAAGTAGCTCTTTCAGAAGTAACACTTGCATCTTTGTTTATTGCCATTCTTGGTAGTCTATGTTGTCTAAACTAACAATGGAAATGATTGGGGTTGGGGGTTTTGGACTAGGGAGGATTCTGCATCTGTCACTGAAGAATAAGGATGAGGTTGAACTGAGGCGAAGCATATTTGACATTTGTTAGGAAACTGCTAGGCTGAAAAGTGTTTAGATGCTGTGAGCGAACAATGTGTTTCAATCGACTAGAGGCTGTGTGCTATCAATGTATGTCAAGCAAAACCATCCCTTATCACTCCCCTTATATGGACCCTCCTGGAAAGGCCTCCATTTTAACATTACTTTCTTGAAAATGCAAAATGCAAGTAGACAAGCATATTTTAAATTTATACTCACGAGGTTAGAACCTAGATGCTTTTGAACTCATGTTCTGATTCCGTGTGGATTCTGGGCTGTAACAGTTTAGAAACCATATGATGCCCCAATGCAAAGTGGATTCAATTAGGTGTTAGATCTTTTTAACTAAGCCTCAACACTATTACTTGAATCAGTAACCCTATTTGCTTTAAATCTAGATACCATTTCTCAAATAATTTAGCAGCTGGCAAATTCCAAAAAAGATGGTGATAGAATTATTGAATAGTTCAAAATTTCAAATTCCTACTTTGTTGTAACCCATTGATTTTATATTCATTTAAACTTTGATAGCCTACAATATTATTCATTTTTCTTATATCTTATATGATTTTTTCATAATTTGTCTATTTATTTATCTACTCAATACCTTATTTTGGTTGTTGTATGCGCTTTGACAACATTTTGAACCTTTGAACGCTGCTGTCTTTTCACCTTCTTTGGGAATTTCTCTTAATTTAGTAAGTGACACATCATCATAAGGATATTTTCTCATCATCCACTGGCTAATTCTATTGAAATTTATCTAAGTTAATCTTAGAGGAATTCCCAAAACAGGAAAGACTGAAACTTTGATCTGTACGGTTTAACTTACTGTTTGGATTCTTGCATGCCACTTAACTCAAACTTTATGTTTTGGACATCACCCAATTCTGAGGGCTTGATTTGACAGTGGGAAACATCTTGGTTTTGGACATCACCCAATTCTGAGGGCTTGATTTGACAGTGGGAAACATCTTGATCACTGGATCATGGGTGTACTGTAAATTCCTTTTTTGTTTGATAAGATTTGACAGTGGGAAACATCTTGATCACTGGATCATGGGTGTACTGTAAATTCCTTTTTTGTTTGATAGGTTGGGCATTTTGCCCTCTTGGAAGAACTTCTTCTTTTCTTTATGTTCTTTCATGTATTCAGCAGCTCACAATGTTTACTATACGCGTCCGTGGTCTATTTTACATGTCTTATGTTTTAGCATGTGTTAGTTTTTCCAAATATCTAATAGCTCTATACGTATGGTGGTGTGTCTGCTTTGTTTGGTATCTAAATTTTTGGTAGGTAATCAAACTTTTGCAAAAGCTAGTTCTGATGGCCCATTCAAATTTTGGAATAATGACGGCAGACAGAGGCTGAAGGTATGCGTGCCTATATGATTCTTTTGTTGTTGTTGTTGACTCTACCCACTATTTGGTTTACCTTTATTCTTATTCACAGATGTAGTCTGGTATTATATGGTTATAGTGATTTATTTTTTCAAGCTGAAAGTTCTTTCCATTTTAGTTGTTTTAGTACTTACGGTAACTGCTTTCCTATTTGGCTTAAATTAGATAGATATAAATTATAATTGGAGTAAAACTCTTGTAAACTTAAGTGGATAGGAGCTTGTTGTCCACCAGCTTTTTTATCCAATAATTTTGCTTTGAGATTTATGCTAGTATGTGTCACAAATCAATGCACACATCTCAAAAATAGCTTTGATGACTAGCAAGGATCTCAAATCAAAAACTAAACGCTGAAAAAGGTGGCGGACGAGAGCTCCTAAGTCCTATCCACTTAAATTTATTCTAGCTTTACTTGATGTAATTGTACATTGTAGCATCATTTAAACAGTTTTGAGCATTCTCACATGATGATGTGATCCTAAGTGTCTTCTCTACCTGGGGTTTATATGTTATGATTAAGATGTACAAATGTGAATTAGCATCCCCTGAAGTTTTAAGTCAGCTAAAATTATAAGGCAGGTCACTAATCTGCAGGACTATTTTCATTACTAGGATAGTTTGTCCACCTTCCTACGGGCAATGTTAGAATAGTTGTGGGAAATGGCCATAAATTAATATCCTTACTGATATGGAGTTTTTAGATTGAAGCTCAATGTATTAATTGTTTTTTTAGTATAAAATTAGTACTCATATTGAAAATATTGTCTAATTTTGGCATCTTTTTAAAAATTTGCCACCTTTTTGGAGCCTATGCCACGATGATGAAATTGGTAATTGCATATCGAAGAGTCACTTGTGGTACCTGTATTTGGTGATGGAAATTAAGTTCGGTCAGGCCACATCTTTATAGGAAAATTGTGAGGTCCAACCTTGTAGTCCATATTCAACATGATTATATAGTTAGATTATCTGAACCAGCTACCATAACTCATTTTGAGGCAAACTTCATAGTTAGAAAGGATCGAAACTACCAGGATTGCACTATGGATGAAACTAACTCATTTTGAGGCAAACTTCATAGTTAGAAAGGATCGAAACTACCAGGATTGCACTATGGATGAAACGCATTTAAATGATACTAAGTTGTCTAACCATTATACACTTCTCTTTTCTGCTAAGAATGCTGCAGTTATTACTTGTTGCCTAGATGCAATAAAAGTTTAAACAGTGGCATTATCACATGAATAGCATTATCATCATACCCATTGCCACTTTGTGCACTTACATATGAAAGCAATTGTGTATTTAGAAGTATTAATCGGGTCATTTGGGTTAAAATGGGGAAGGGGCGGTGCACATACACATACACAAGGTTATACTTGATCCATGTTTTAGATGGATTCGACCCATTTGTAACCCTGATTACCCGCACAATAAAAAAAAGAAAAAGAAAAAAAGAAAAAGAAAATGAAAAAGAGAAAATGGCCTGAAATACAACATCAAGCCTGGTTAGAATGGTTGAATGTGCTTCCTGTCAGAATCATGGGCATTGTGTCCGGCTACCTTTATTTTCAGTAATATCTTAAAAATGATTTGTGTAACAAATTTTAATCAAGAAGGTTATACTTTCTTTTACTTCCAAACAAGGTGCTAGGAGCAGATGGCTCTTATTCGTACATTTACAAGGCCATCTCACAGCTCATGACTACGGGATAGCATATACTACTGGTGTATGAGAATTAATGTGATACTTAAGACCTAGGAGATATATACAAAAGAAACAAATGATAATTGTGGCAGCAACAGGCAGCAATAAAGTTTCTTTCCTATCCACAAAGTTACTGAAAGAGATGCCTTATCTACCGAGGCTTCATATTCAGTGAAGGCTGAGATTGAAAACTCAGATGTGTTCACTCTTTCAGGTATGATGTTTGGTATGTTTTCTGGAATAGGTTGTTATGATTGATACGGTGAAGTAGGTGATGGGATCGGTTGACTGTGACTTATGCTGGTGAAGTAGTTTGCCAATAAACTGAACAAAAATTAGGTTGATAAGAGATGCACTAAGTCAGGTAGCTTCATGGCTTGTTCAAGCCAAGCGGCACCTGAAATGGGTTGGGTCATATTCACTAAAGCCTGGTCAATTTGCGGATTTTTTAATTCAATAAACATTCAATCCAGAAGTATTTTATAATTTCAATTTACAAGCTTTATATTCATCGAAATCGCCTTAAATGCCATAGGCTGCATTTATGATACTGTAGAGGTAAAATAAAAGGTCAACTGTAGCAAGTGACAAAATTTCTTTTTTTGTTTCAGTACGTAGATTTTAATAAATATTGTAACTTTCATGTATTCTATATGATGTATAATTTTAGAAAAATAATTATAGACCATCGTATGGTAGAGCAGAGAATTAAAGAATTTATTACAGTGTTTGTTTATTCTTTGAGTGCACTTTACCTGAAGTGAGCACACAAGCACATGCACATGGGGTAACTTTATGTTCGTGCATGCTCATGCGAGCATGTTGAGTTTATTGGTTAGCATTGGAAAGAATACTAGGTTATGCAAGAACATATTTAATTTCTGGTAGTGCACAATGGAAGTTTAAAAAGTGCTAGTAATATTATACTATATATAATATCATAATTTAACTTTTTAGTTATGTAGAATATGTTTAAGAATAAGGTGTTGCTTTTGAATTTCTTAGACATCCCGGATAATCTTGTCGTAAATTTTCTTGCCAGAGTATAGATTTATAACTATTTAAACTGTAATTTGGTTCAAATTCCGTAATGTTCTTGTAGAAATTAAATAAATTAGCACTATATTATTTGTAATCAACCCATCATAACTACATCTAGAAGTTACATTTTATGCTCGAATAACTTTTTACATTCATCTATTTCTTTGTTGTTGTTCTTCTTCTTTTCTTTTTTTAATTTTAATTTTAATTTTAATTTTAATTTTTTTGGATTAATGTTTCTGGATAAGTTAGAACCTGCTTTTGATTGTACTTATGAAATCTCTTATTCCATCAAAATGCATCCTCTTTTAGAAATTTGATAGTTCGGTTCGATTTTAACTAGAGTTCGGTTCGGATCGGGTTGAAGTTTTTTCAACCCGAACCGCACGAACCGACCGAATCGTATTACACATTCTAATTACTATCCGCATCCGCTTAAACCCGACCCACTATAGTTCTTATAGAGTTGCTTTGCTGCAGCTTGATATCTTTTTTTCTCATACGACCTGATAGCAATGAAATACCCCAACAATGGTGTTCTCTTCAATTCTAGGGCTTTTCATCATCTCTAGTTCTCTACCTCTTTCTATTATTTATTCGTTTCTTCTACTTTGGATCAATTCACTTTGGAGATAAGAAACTTAAACCATAGTATTGATTCTAATCTTTTCTTAATTTTTATCCTCGATTGATACACATAATGCAAGAGAATCTTTGGATCCGACTTCTCTTTAGATCAAACTTAAAATTTTATAGAAACTATCTTAACATCCAAATTATTACATATATTTTATTTACTTTGTCTATCAGATTGAGATCACTTTAATTATTTATGTAAGCTTTCTCTAAAAAAAATTTATGTAAGCTTTGGCAGGAATAAGATTTTGATTTCTACATCTAATATTCAATAGCATTTGATAGTTTATGAATTTTAATAAATTGAAGTGTAAGAGACTTCTTTCTTCGTCAACAGATTAGAGGTGAAATTGAATTTGAACATAATATTTTTGTACCCAAGGGAAAACCGAACAAGCCGACCCGAACCGACTTGAATTGATTTGGTTTGATTTTGAATGATAGGCAGTTCGGCTCGGTTTGGCCAAATTTGGCTAAAAACTGAACCGACCGACCGATTGCGTAGCCCTACTTAAAAGATACATTAAGAGCGAAAATAGTCGGATCTTCAAATTCCTATGTTGTATCCCCTGGGCCATGAACATAGGGTTCCTGTCTTGACTTGACCTGTGGCCAAAAATATTGGTCATCACTTCCCACGGGATTTAAATCGTATATGTGCAATAGGGATAATTGCATATACATCCCTCTATTCTAAGAGGTATAGCTAATTTAACCTCCAAAAACTATTTGTTGGCACTTCCATCACAAAAAGTTCAGAGAACTTTCTTTTTCCTTCCTCAATTAACAGCGCAATTTAGTCTTTTTTTTAAACCTGTGGACAAAAGGTAAAGTTGTCGCAAAATTACCCACAGGAAACATCCATTGTTTGCCTTGATTCGAACTTGCTGGAATTCTTCATCATTTTGTTGTGCAAGTTCAAATGCCTCCGGCCACCCTAGGGCTTTATAGTTTACCACTAAACAATGAGGCTTTTCTCAGATACAACCGGATAAACCCACCACTTGTTTGGAACTTTTGATTAAATATTAGTTCATCACGGGAATCACCCACAACTAATGAGAAATGAAGAAAGTCAAAATATTAATATTGTAATAAAAAACAGAGAAAGTGAAGCTACAAAATTATTATTAATAGTATCCAAGAATTGGAAAATCATTTCAAATTCTGAAATGTTCATTTTCACATCATATGATAATCGATAAAATAATTTTCACAACATATGATTCTTCCCCTCTTTTGAAACCAATAATGAATTTGGATTCTTCTTGTTATGGGAAAATGTGACTTTATTTTATTATGGGTCGGTCCTTTCTATTATATAGATGAGTAGATAGTTCAATATTACAAGTGTACCCAATGTGGGATTAAAACACTTAACAAAATAAAGCTTGTTACAAAGTGCAACAAACAACGGTCGTTGTTGATGTTAAGTGATCACACAGTCAATTATATCCGCGGTTGGATGCAGGTGAAGTTGATAAGGAGCCGCTTCTTTCCCCGAATATCCAGTTCTGAGTTGAGTGACTGAAGTCTGCACATATAGAAACCCGTAAGAGGACGGGGACTGGTTCCCCAGTTCTTCCGACAGTCAAGTTAGCTGGTGAACTTGAGTGGGAAAAGTGAAGAACTTGACGGGGACTGGTTCCCCAGTTCCCCAGTTCTTCCGACAGTCAAGTTAGCTGGTGAACTTGAGTGGGAAAAGTGAAGAACTGCGAGTTCTTGTGTGTGCAGTATATTTTGCAGATCTATCTTAGAAGATAAGATTTGAGAAACCTTTTCAGAAGAAGCTTTCTGTTAGAATAGTACATTGTATTTATACTGATGGTGTAAGGGTAGAATCGTCATTGTAGCCAAGCACATGATGACGATAAAGAAGTATGAGCTGGCGGTTGAGTCAGCTTTTGCTTTAAAGGTGTCAGCTGGCGACTGGAGGAGAGATCACCTCAGAATTAAATGCTACGCGATTTGAGGCATGGTGGCACCGACGTGGTCCGATGAGTCATGAAGGCTAGCGGCGCTAGAGGTATGATGGCGCCTGCCAAGTATAAAATGCGATGTCGACGTTGTGTCAGCGGGAGAGGCTCGATGCTGAAGTCGTCCTCTAGCTTCGCCGAGAAGTTATGCCTTTCGAGTCGTTGTTGGGCGTCGAATAGCAGGTCGAGAGGGCTCGTTGCGAGTCGTCTTTGATAAGAGGGTTGACTAGTACCGCATTTCGAGTCGACATGAAGGAATGTCGACTCGACAAGTCAGCTAAGTTGGAGCCCTTGTTGGTCTTAGCCGTCAATTTAATTGCGACATTGCATGCAGAAGTATCTCTGTCCGTTGTTGGCAAATGGTTGCATTTTGACGATTGAAAACACCATAACAGTCGCGATAAAGCTTTTGTAAGTATGTCAGCAATCAGATCAATTGATCAACATGTAAAGTAACAATATTCTTAAATAACACCATATCACGAATAAAATAACAGTGCACCTCAATATGCATTGTGTGCTCATGAAAATCCAATTTGCTTGCAATGTAGATAGCTGCTTAATCGTCACAGTAGAGCCTCATAGGTATCGAGAGAACAATACCCATATCTTGCAGTAGGGAGTGAATCTAAGTCATCTCGCTGGGGCATAAGCCATAGCTTTGTACTCAGCCTCGGCACTGGGGAGAGCAACAACTGTCTGTTTCTTACTGCGCCAAGTGACTAAATTACCTCCAACAAAAGTGCAGTAACCACTAATAGAATGTTGATCAAGGGGATCATCTGCCCAGTCAGTATTAGAGTAGCCTACAATATCCAAATTGTTGGAAACACGATAAAAAGTCCTTCTCTTGGTGCACTTGTCAGGTATCAGAGTACCTGACAAGCTACAAACTAGTGTAACTGGTAAAACTAGTATGATCTGGGAGAGCTTCGCCCAAATTTTGGCCTAGTCTAATATGACGACCTATAGGGGTCTGAACAGGCCTCGCATGAAGCATATCGATGTGCACCATCTAGACGATGCACAACAAAGTTCACATTCAATTGCCGTAACGGACGGACTGACATTTATCCGTGAACTCGTTGAACTTCCGCTCAGTAAGTATAATTTTCATATTGTCTTATTCTCTGTCTAATTATATAATATTGCTAGTGCAACAATTTGATTTTGGTTTCATGGACAAGAATGACTATTTATGGGAATAGGGTATTACATTCTTTCTGCCTGTGTCACTTTTTTGCATGTTTTTATGCAATAGGCAAACATGCGAGTAGATAAAATGTTTTAAGTTTAAATTTATGGGCAAGAACCTAGATGCTTTTGAAACTGTGTTGATCATGTGTGGATTCTTAGCTAACATTTTAGAAACCATATGACGCACTTATATAAAGTGGATTAAAGTAGATGTTAGATCTTCTTATTTAAACATCAACACCAATATTTAAATTAGTTACTCGAGATTTTTGCTTCGAATCTGAATATCGTTCTTGAAAAAGTTACCTAACTGACAATGTCGCATCAGACAACTTGGCCCAAAAAAGATGGCTATTGTAGTGTTATCAATGTGCGATGCAGGGCGTAAAGTCCCATTACGCGACGAGGCACAATGCGATGCGTGTTCTCGAGTGAAGTGAGGCACACATCGCATGCATAATTTTTTCAAATTAGATAATCACGAATGGAAGAACATGATTGTGAATTTTCACATAAAAACTCTGTCAAGATAAGTAATGTCTAATACCTAATCACAACGTGAGGTCGTAATTCATAATATTAACACACCCAACATGGTAGTAAAGTTCATAATTTTTCAAATCAAGACTAATATCGAGGCAAAAATCAAATAGTAAACAAGAATGAGTTAGGATTCTCAATCGAGCTACTGAAATGGTGTAATGGATGTATTTTCTTTTTGGGATATGAGTTATCAGGTATACAAACCCGATTGAAATGTTAAAAGAAAAAATATACGAGCTTATGCATTGCAAGTGTGCTGCGAAGTTCCCTCGCGCATGGCACAAAAAGGCATTGTCGCTTCAGATGCGTGTGTTTTGTCATTGCTTAGCATCATAGGGCGCATGAGGTGAAATGAGGCATCCACCTTCGATAACACCGGGTTTTTGAATTATTAGATAGTCCAAAGTCCCACTTATTGTACCCCAATAATTATATGTTCGTTTTAACTTTAATTGCCTACAATATCATGTCACCTTTCGTATATATTTTTGTTAGGAATCGAATCTCCTACAAACAAGCGAGAAAGCAAGAAAGAAAAAACAATCACAAAAGACAGATTTTTACGTAGTATGGCAATTTGCCTACGTCCACCGCTGCACTAGAGTTTCTTTCTTTCTTTCTTCCTGTTAAAAATTAATGTTACTAGAGAGAGCATCCATATAGATAGATAGAGACTAGGGCTACATGCTACATCTAGAATTACATATTTGCCCTTCTACATAACATATAACTTTTCAGACACCATAACAATAATACCGTTATAAATTGTTCATAATTTATTCATTTATTTTTATATCTTATTTTGATTGTTTTATGTGAACCCTCAACATTTTGAACCTCTTCACTCTGTTGTTTTTTTTCACCTTGTCTGGGAATCTCTTGGTTTCACAGGTATTAGGTCATAAGGATAGCTTCTCGTCATCTGTTTGCCCTAATTGGATTAAAGTTTATCCTAGTTAATCTTGGTGGATTCCCAAAACTGGAAAGACTTAAACTTTGACAGACTGGGTGTTTTGGCCTCGTGGGATAACCTTATCTTTTTTCTTTAAGTTCTTTCATGTACCCATCAGTTCATAGTTTTGAGTATATACTAGGTCTATTTTACATGTCTTACATTCTAGCATGTCTTAATTTACTGATGTACATAGTTCTATATGGACAGGGCGTCCCTGCTATGTTTCATGTTTGGCATCTCAATATTGTGTTTTTTGCAACGCACATCATACTTCTGCAACTGTAATGAGACATCATTTTTTGGACTAATGACAACAAATATAGGCCGAAGGTACGCTTGCCTACATGCTCCGGTTTTGTTGTTGACTGAACACACTATTTGGTTTTCCTTTCTTATGCACCAATGTATTCCAATTGTTATATTGTTATAGTGATTTTTTTTAATGTTTTCCAAGCTGAACGGTCTTTCCATTTTACTATTTTGTAATCCATGTTCAACATGATTGTATAGTCAGATTTTACCTTAACCAACTACCATGAACTCATTTTGAGGCAAAATTCATATTTAAAATGGGATCAAAACTGTTAGGATTGCACTTGGCTGAAGTGCATTTAAATGATGCGGTCTAACCACTAGACAACTTCTATTTTGCCTAAGAATTCTAGGTTTGTTGCTTATTGCCTATATGTACTCAAGTTTAAACAGTGGCATTGTCACATGAGTAGCATAATCATTATACCTACTACTACTTTGTGCACTTACATATGGCAGAAATTCTACACACACGCATGCACACACGTAAGTAACAATTGGTCATTTGGGTTAAAAAAGGGACAGGGCCTTGCACATACACATACGATTATACTTAACCCATCTATTAGATAGTTTTCAGACCCATGTGGATCCAAACCTGGCCACCCCCACAAAAAGGAGGGAAAATGAAGAAGAAGAGATGCTGACCTGATATACATGCTCAAACCCAACAACAGCCTAAATACCATTAATAAAGTCACTAATTTTCCTAGTTTGTGCGATTGCTTTCTCGCTCCCAACATCAAACACGTGAAACGCATGCCCCTCTCCTTTAGTCTCAAACACCTCCCCCTCCCCTTCCCATCCGCTCTCCATCAGCCTCTCACAATAACTCCTCCCTCCCTCCCTCAAAAAGTCCTCTCCCAAACAAACCAGCACTCTTCTACACCCCAACCCCATCAAAGTCGGCGCCATCTGGGCCATCGGATTTATCCGATGATCATCAAGCCCTGTCGTCGAAGGACACGTCATCCTCCACATCTTCTCCATATCCTCAGTAGAATTACTCTTCTTTCCCTCCAAGAAGTACGGATGTATCATAACCGATCCTTCGATCTCCACCCCGTCACCGACCCGTTCCGTTCCTGCTCTCATCGCCACATTATGCGCTATATTTCCTCCGGCACTATCTCCCGCCAAAAACAGCCTGTCAAAATCTGCATGGGCTGAGAGCCAATCATCCGGGCCTTCTCCGTTTACATGGGCTGCAGCCCATTTTAGAGCTTCCCACGAGTCGTCGTACGCTGCAGGGATTGGGTGCTCTGGCGCGAGCCTGTAGCTGACCGAGACGAGCACAATGTTGAGTTGAGCAACGAGAGGGTTAAGATAGTTGTGTGTAAATGAACTGAACGCTGATCCCAGACAAAAGGCTCCGCCGTGATAGTAAATGATAAGGGGGAGTCTTGAACTCGGGGAATGAGCGAGGTTTGGGAGGTAGATTCGAGCCGAAAGAGATGTTTGCGGATTGATTGTCATGTCTTTTGATGAAACTCGGGTTTCTGGGTCGATGGAAGGCTGGACGAAATCGGAGGGTATTAGACGTTGAATTAGGCCGCTTTTGTAGATTCTGATGAATCTTGAATCGAATTCGATTTCATCGGTGGAAGCCATTGATGACAGTGAAGATCAGATGATTTCTTGATTTTTTTAGGAAATTAGTAGTGTTATATACAGTATTATATAATTCGAGATCAACTGTGGTTAATCTTTAAAAATGAAGCGAATGCAATAGTCAGGGGGTTTGTTGGCAAGTTCCTTTCGGTTGGTAATGGAACCAAGATGCAACGAGATGTTTACATATGGTTGTTCTCCATTGGAAAGATATCTCTTGACCTCCTTAATGAAATTGTGCACTTAGCATTATTTTGGATAGGTGCTTCGGCTCGGGCAAAAATGTTATGCAGAGAGGCACATGAGGAGGCAGATGGCGGCCATCGCTAGCTAGCCAGAGAGGGGGACCTTATTTCGTATCCAATTGCCCTCGACTGACTTCTTCGCTGCGTATGCTAAAGTTTGTTCTTTCGTTGCTTGGGATCCTTATTTTGGTTATGTGCACTTAGTTATTATTTTGTTTCTGTAATACAAGACGGTAAGTGATTAATTCGTATTCCTGGTGGGCCGGAGATTATGATTTTTATGTATATCAGCACATTATTTGGTAATGCTAGCAGGGCTGGGGCTCTTCCCGACAGCCGGCCGACGGCGTAAAAGAGGAGGTGCGCCGCACGGCGATAGGCTTCAAGCCGGCGAGCCCAGCGGCATTCTCACGCTCACACGCCACGTGCTTCTGCGACCAAGCCTCCTCGACTTGCGCGCCGCCGAACATCGGAGAGTTAGATCAGAGAGAGAGAAGAGGAGAAGAGAAAGAGAGGGAGGGAAAATAGGATCGAGCGAAATACCTGGAACCCTCATATCGCCGTTTAAAAGGAAATTTTAACATCAAAACCCGCCATATATCCTGTTTGAGCATAACGGACAAGAACCCCGAAACAAAATGAAGAAAATATTAAATAGGCCAGAAAGCATCCAATGCTACTCTCTCACCTCACCCCTTCAGAAAAACTAGATGCAGCCTCTCTCGTCACACTCGCCACCCTCATAATCTCGCTTCTTCTCCTCTCAACGCGAACCCGCCTCCTTGCTCCCCTGTCTAAGAGCCGCAGATGAAGCTCGGCGCCAACCCCTGACTGAGCGGTCAGCAGCCGGAGCCCGTGGACAAGGGTCGGAATCGTCCCCAAATTGCCGCGGTCCCTAACCAGGAACATCCAAAGGCAGGGCAGAATGCGCTCGCTCGAGGTCTCGGTCTATGGGGCCACAGCTACTTCCCTCTAGCCGCAGTCGTCGGCCAGGTATACGCTCACTCTTAATGCTTTCTGTTGATTCAGATTTCTTGAATTGCGCAGTGAGTGGTAGAGTGTAATAATATAAAGTATAAACCTCATCTCCCATGATAACTTCAGTGTTTTGATCTAATGGTTAGAGTAAATTAATTTAAGATGGTACCAGAATCATTAACCTGCGGCGACACGTTAGAATATAAAAATATAAACCTCTCGTGCCCCACCCCCTCTAGACGAGATTCCCTTATGTATGATTGATGTGGTTGGTCTTCTGATTATTTATTGTGTTCTTAATATTTGTAAATCGAGGTTTCGTTACCATTCTCTCAAAAAAAAAAGCCAAAGAATTCTTGTTTTAAACCTTTGTCAAGCGGAAGCTGAGTCTTATTTATGTATAAGGTTGCTGCATAGAAACTCTAGCAGCCTGGAAGTTTTAGACTTTGAGTGAGAACTAGCGTCTGGAGTCCAATGTTTGACTAAGGGTTAATTTTCAGAAAATCCCCTTAACTTTAGAGGTTTTGGAGTTAACCCTCATAGCTATTTTAATTCTACAACCCCCTACACTTTGAGGGGTTTTGCACATAACTTCCTGAGGACCTGAACTTCTTTTGTTCCAGTTTCCTGACAGTAATCTACTACGTCACTTGACGAGCACATAACTAAAGCAGATGAAAACTTTCCCTAGCCGTAAGAAATTAGCGGAAATACGTAATAAAAACAACTTCTAAATGGTTTTAGTGTTTGCTTGCTCCAAAAATTTATTCTCGCTTCAGTTTGTATGGAAAACAAAAAAAAAAAAACTATTTTTAATTACACAAGTAGATCACATGGCATAATGCTATATATTAAATATTGAGGAACATTATAAGTAATAAGTGAATGACTATTTAACATATGATGGAGGGGAGCGGGGCAGAGAGAATGAAGTGACTCAAGAAATCAAAGCTAATATCCCGGAGCCTCCATTATAGCTAATATATTATGTAATTATTATGATTGAAGAGAAAATTGCGAGTCTTTATAAGCCATAATGGCTAGGTGTTCCGGAGCAAGATAACAGTCTACAGACAACAACTATATTAGCATTCGCAACGAAGGAGCCAAGGTTGTTGTCGAGATGAGGAACATGATTGTTTTTTCTGATGAAGGAAGAAGCGTATTGATTGAGCAAATTCTAAAAACTGGATTATGTAGAACTTCATTTATTTATTTATTTTGAATGGCGGCCATAATGAAGGAAAATCAGCAAATATCAAACTGCTGGAACAATGAAAGTGAGGGAAGTATTGGGAATTTACGCCGAAAACCCTAAAATAGCAAAAACACAGTATAGAGAAAATACACCAATATTTAACGAGGTTTCTACAACTACCTACGTCCTCGGGAGCCACACAATTAATTTTTTTTATTAATCAACAAGAAATTATAATATAAGAGCAGATCTCAAACTTGAGATCTCTCAGTAAATGCTATTATTACTGTAGATACAGTAACAACTACAGTAATAAAATCCCCTTCTTAAATACCCCCTTTAATTTCTCCCTTAAATCTGAGAGCTGAAAAATTCACGAGAGGAGAAGGAAAAACTCCACTGAGTTTTTTGAGTCCGCCGTCAGGAGAAAGAACACCACAAGAAAGAGAGGAGAAGATCTCATCTCGTGCCCTGGGGTTTCCCTTTTATAGGGAAACCCTAGCGACAGGCTAGCGACAGCCTGTCGGCTCGTGCCCTAGGGTTTCCCTTTTATAAGGAAACCCTAGCGACAGGTTGGCGACAGCCTGTCGCCGAAGCTCGCCTGCAGCGCTCGAGCTCGAGCTCGCCTGCCCTCGTCACTCGCTTGAGCTCGCCTGAACCAATTCTCGAGCTCGCTTGCAACAAGCCGAAATCGCCTCAACCTCGCCTGGAGTAGAGCTCGCCCGCGTTCGCCTGAAGCACGAGCGCTCGAGCTCGCCGTCGACCTCGCCTGCGGAGGTTTGATTCTTCACCCAAATTCAACAATCTCCCATTTGGAGAACAAACCACCGTCAGCAGGCTATCTCAACAAGCATCATCTCCTGTGTGACTCATCCCTCATCACTTATGCATGAAGGCCAACTGAAGTTGCGTACAATTCCAGTTTCTGAACGGTCACCATCTTTGTTAACATATCTGCTGGATTCTTACTTCCTGAAATCTTTTCCAGTTTCAACACATCATCTTCCAATAGTGATCTGATGAAGTGGTACCGAAGCCCAATATGCTTCGTTCTAGAATAAAATACGGAATTCTTAGCTAAGTGGATCGCACTCTGACTATCACTGTGCAAAACATTCTTCTCCTGTTTGAATCCCAGTTCTGTTAACAAACCCTGAAATCATATCATTTCTTTGCTGGCTTTAGTCACTGCTACATACTCAGCTTCTGTAGTAGATAGAGTGACAATCTTCTGTATCTGTGACATCCAACTAATAGTTGTATTTCGACAGTGAATACATAGCCGGTGGTGCTTCTTCGGTGATCGACTTCACCTCCAAAGTCTGCATCTATGTACCCTTGCACTTCCACATTTCCCTTACCAAAGTGCAAACACTTCTGTGTGGTGCCTCGTAGATATCTCAGAATCCACTTAACTGTTTCCCAATGAGCTTTTTCTCGATTCGACATAAACCGGCTGATCACTCTCACTGCATGCCAATGTCTAGTCTCGTACAGACCATTGCGTATATCAAGCTTCCAATGGCTGAGACGTAAGGAACCTTAGTCATACCCTCTTTCTCTTCATCTGACTGAGAAGACTGATCCTTTGATAGGCGAGAATGGCTGGTCAAGAGTGTGCTCATTGGCTTGACATCGCCCATATTGAATCTCTGCAAAACACAGTTGATGTACTCCGTCTGAAATAACTTCAAGAGACTTCTATTCTTATCTCTCGTGATTTGCATTCCAAAGATCTTCTTTGCTGGACCCAAGTCCTCCATGTTAAACTCTTTTGACAACTGCTATTTTAAACTCCGGATATCCTCCATATCTGCACCTACAATCAACATATCATCAACATACAATAGTAGGATGATATAACTAGACTGATATCTTTTGAAGTAGCAACAGTGGTCGGAGTTGCACTTCTGGAAATCTTCCTTATGCATGAAGTCGTCAAACTTTCTGTACCACTGTCTTGGGGCTTGTTTCAAGCCATACAAGCTCTTCTTGAGTCTGCACACCAGGTTCTTTTCTTCTGAAAAACTTTCTGGTTGGTACATGCATATCTCCTCTTCTAGATCTCTGTGAAGAAACGTCGTCTTCACGTTTAACTGCTCGAAATGAAGATCTTCAATAGCTACAATACTTCATCACTGTCTTGATCGTATTTAGCTTCACCACGGGAGTAAAAATATCGGTGTAGTCAATTCCTTTCTTTTGTTGGAATCCTTTGACAACTAGCCGGGCCTTATATCTTCTAGAGCCATCATGCTCTTCTTTCACCCGATACACCAATTTGTTATGAAGTGCCTTCTTACCCGTGGGCAATTCAGCTAGTTCACACGTCTGGTTTGAGATGAGAGATTTCATCTCATCTTTCATGGCAAGCTCCCACTTACTCGCATCTCTACTCTGACAAGCTTCATCATAGTTTTCAGGTTCTCCTCCATCTGTTAACAACAGATAGTTTATATATCTCCTTTTGGGTACAGGAGGTCAAGAAGATCTTCTCAATATTAGAGCTGGTACGTCGGGCTCCTACACACTGTTTTGTCCAACAGGATCTTTTGGCTGAGGACCTTCTGCATTGGGTT